AGCAAGCGTCCGTGGCCAATCTAGATGCGCTTTTCCGCAAAAAAGCCCCGATCGCCATTTTAGCTATCGGGGCTTTTTTGCGGAAAACAGCACTGTGCTGTCTACAATGGCCCTCTTGCGCAAGAGGGCTTTTGCCCGAACAGGAGCAGCACAGTATTTCTGCAAGAACAGACGATCTTACATGAGATCGTCAGTGTTCTTGCGGAAATTCAAGCGGCCAGTGTAGACAGCTGGCAAGTTTTTCCGCAAAAGCAGATGATTTTGCAGAAAAACTTGCCAATCTAGACACAGCCCAGGAGTAATTCCACTCAAGCAAATGAAAGTTAATTTGGATTTATGCCAGAGTAATTTAGAGTAGAATCACCTCATAATGTTGACAGAGTAAATTGCAGCCAGGAACAGAGATAACTTCCTTGATCTCTGGGCCAAATTCAGACCTGGAAGCAGTACTTGAGGTCTGAGTCTGGCCCATCAGCACTTTAATGAAGACAGAAAGATACCAGGCTGCTCAGGTCCACATTCTTGCAGATGAACTTAGGCAAACAATGATAATGACACCATCTCACGCAGCTGAAAGAAGTTTGATATTCTAATAACTGCACCGGTAGAAATGATGGGTTCAAAGTTTCTTTCCTGGTAGTAAGTACAAAGTTCACTGAATTATAAATTGCAAGCTATTAGACACCCTGTTTTCTTTCTCTCCTGCAAGAATGGTTTCCACTTACTTCTTCCCATGCCTGTGTCTCATACTATGTTTTCCCTATTGCGCGACATTCTCGGTAAGTCTATTGCCAACTTGTATTGGCAGCTCCTCTCTTTCAGCATGTTACACATCTTATACAACATGTATTTTACTTGTTTTCAGGTTAGACACCTTCCGAAGGAAGATGGTAAGGCCTCCCTTAATTATTTTTACTGCTGAGATATTTTCTGAGGGTGGTGATGGGGGATCAGGGTCAGATCCCAACAACTGCTCTGTTGGATGCATAATGACTTTCAGTTGATTTTTTATAGCACGTGACGCTGATGCTGGTGAATTGAGGGAGGACATTCCAGGAATAAATTTAGGTAGGTTGCCTTTCTAATGCCTGTGCAGTCCCTTTGAAGTGCCTTTAAACAAAATACTAGTGCAACCTGCATTTCTTAAGCATTTTTATGGAAAAACTGGATGGCTGATGTCCAGGCAGGGGCCACAGAGAGCCATAGCAGTGAGCAGAAACAGGAGTGAACGCCATCTGCAACTCCACCAGAATTCCTGACTCTTAACCCTGCAAAACTCCTACTGTCCAAGCCTGGGGCTTCTCCTGGATGAAAATCACAAGTCATATTGAGCTTTTGTGCTATTAACGAACTTCCCCGAGGGTTCAGAGACTTTTTCTCCTGAAGACGTGGGGCATTGGACCAAATCTACAGTTAAGGGGAATCTACTTTGAAGTGAATTATATTATTTCCATTTACGGTATGGTCCAGAGAGAAGTGCCAATTTGGAATGTCTTTAGAAGCCAGTTGGCTCTGTTTTCCCCACCTAACAACTGGTTTTCTAGAGTGAGCAGTAATTTAGTGGCTTTATGGTGTTTCTGTCTGAACTGTAGAGAAATTACATGGAAAACACAATCAAATTAACCCATCTCATTTCATTTTGTTTTTTGTAATTTGATTTTGAGTATATATTAATTATATTATATTATATTATATTATATTATATTATATTATATTATATTTATTAATCACTGGAACCTCTTACCTAAAGACATAGTGGATTCTCTATCACTTTATAGCAGAACTGAATCTCCTAAAACAGAAGCTCTAGTTCATACAGAAGTTATGGGCTTTATGCAGGAATCCTGAGATGAAATCCTACATCTTGTGTTATGCAGGAGGTCACACTTGATGGTTGGAATAGTTTCCTCTCAACTTAAAATCTATGAAGCTATGATCATTCTAGAGTGAGACAAAGACATAGGAGCATAGACAGCCATAATGCAGAGTAAAACTCATAACATGCTTTTCCATAACCTGTCAAATTAGGTATCAACAGTTGCTGGTAGTTTACTGACAGATCCTTTACTTAAGTGAGACTAGACACTGGCCCTTAATAATTATCCATAAATGTCACTCGTGGGCTAGATACTTCCATGAGTTCTATAAACTCAGCATTTTTCAGAATATGAAATGCAGTATGTGAGATTTAACTTAAATAATCTATTCCTAAATTCCTTTCCAGCTGCTGGACTGAACCTCTTTCAAGGGGATATCTTACTGCCAGTAAGTATTTTGTAAACAGCTGGATGTGATTCCTACTCATCATATTTGCAGTACTATTAGCCCTCGTTCCTATGCCAATGGATGCATCATTGACTTTTAATCTTTCCTTCTATTTTCAACAGAATGAGCGCAATGGACTGAGAAATGAGTTCTACAGATGGAAGTTCCCTGTTCCCTACATTCTGGGTGATGACCTAGGTAAAATACTCTTCAAATTTTAGGGCCAAATCATGGTCTCATTAGAATTAACATGGTAGCAGAATTTGACCCTAAGAGAAACATCATTATGACATTAAAAGCTTTTCAAAGTACGCTAATTAGCAGGCTACCAATCACATTAAGATGAAATTCCACAGCATCACAGTTATAGCAAAAAAATATAGTAGTTTAAAGGGTTTGTCTCTTCCTGCGATATATCATAATGCAAGTACAGAACATAGCTTATCTCCACAGACAGGCGATCTGCAATGTGTTAAAGATACTATCTGAAATATATTTTCTAGAGCTGAATGCCAAGGGAGTTATACTTGAAGCGTTTGAAATGTTCCGTCTTAAGTCTTGTGTGGATTTCAAGCCATATGAAGGAGAGAGCACCTATATACGGTTTCTAAAAGATGACGGGCAAGTATTGTGATGACACCCTAGATTCTTGTTCAATTTTCTTTGTGTAGATTTTCTATTCTAAATCTTTGGAAGAAAAGATGCTATGAAAGCTCAGGTTAGTGAAATACAGTTATTATTTCCTACGTATAAGCTATCCCCAGATCACTGAGTTCAAGGAGGCAGCTAGAAAAAGATAAGAATCTTGTCCTGTATATCACTTAGGAATGTTTCTTTTTTCTTGGGGTTTCTTAAAGGCCTTTTCAGAATCATAAAGATTTTTATATTTTCCCCTGTCCTCCTCTCTGCTTTGGCTCATTTCTCCTCCAGCCTGAAGAGAATCTTTCTGGATCTCATCAGAGTCAGTTCTGAGTCATCCAGGGAAATCAGCATTGAATGACATAAGATCTTCCCTTTTCTTATACCAGGGATAGGCCAAAAAATGGCCTCAGGCCAGATCCAGCCCACCTAACATTCAGATCCAGCTGGCCACAATACTCCGAGCCACCGATATCCTGCAGAAACTGGCCAACGGGAGCTGTCTAGGCTGTGCTTGTGGGCACATGCAGCACATGGAAACTCCCTCTCATAGCATGCTGCACAGATACACATGCTGGCCCCAGCAGCCGGCCACTTTTAACAGTGTGTTGGGGCACAGCAGGCACAGAGCCTGCCCGAGGGTCCTGCTGGGCTGCTGGCTGGGACCCCCCTACAATAAGTGTGTCACAATCAGAGCCTTGACCTGGCTCTCCACCCCTTCTCGCACCCCAACTCCCTGCCCAAGGTCACAACACAAAACATTTGC